GTCAACAGTGTCAAGTGTCGCCAGAAGACAGCGACTTCACTTCTACTGCGTGCGAAGTCACAAAGGCGTCAAAGACAATGTGATAGTGGACGAGATTGCCACGAGTGATATACGGCTGATATCCAAAAACGTGATCAACATTGGAAAACCCATGTATTGTCTATACGACAATGAGGACAGATGCATGGTAACGTTGGAGCGAACTACCTCGGTGCAAACTGCAAAATTTATGTGTAAAACGGTAGACTGGAAGTCCACAAAATTCGTACTGGTACTTGATAGAAGTGAATGTAGGAACATGATTGGAATACTCACTGGTCACTGTCCGTTAGCGGCACACGTCTGCAGAATGGAGTTGGCAGACTGAGAAGACTGCAGGAAATGACAAAGGCAAAGCATCAGGTAAACAATTTAGCATCTTATATGCACTTGTCGCGCGCCGGCAAGGCTGCGCTTTAAACATTTAGAGGCTCTACGGTATGAAGCACTGGAAGAGGTATCGATAGTAAATCCACAGAGTCTATAGAAAGACGCGTCAAGCGCAGGCTGAACTCAAACTCGTATGGCAAACGACCAAAACTGCTCTAATCGTGGTTCATTAGTTTGTCAGACTAACCTTACTTAATATTGTCCAATTCAGAGAACGATTCTATAACTACCATACTGACATAAGCGGGCCAAATTCAAAGACATCTTCAATAATTTGTCGGTACTGTTTGACTGTGGTATGGTCTATAGAGGTTATCATAAATAATGGTTGTTAGACCGTTCCACGGAATGAGTTTTTCTAAGTAAGTCAGTGCATAAAAAAAATACCAAGCATAACCTCACACCTCCTGAGGTACTTACTGCCATTAAGTATGAAGTTGTTATATGGAAAATTCTGCTAATGGTTCTTAATGACATAAACAATACATAATAATAGGATAGCGGGTGAGAGATAGAGATAGAGTGAGGATTGACCATAAATTGCGGAAAATATTTACTACAATTACGGCTAAATTAGAGAAACTTTCGAAAAACTTAGCAGATTTCTTCACAACACAATGCATACACACATACATACATACACATAGAGGTGATAAAGCATACGCATGCGAATTGCCCGAAGGCGTTAACTCAACTTTTTCGTAGAGGTCATTTTTATTGCGAACTAAAGTAATTTGTGTGATAATAACTTTAAGTTTGAACTGTACACAAACAATTGTGTAAATGTAAATATGTTTCACTTGGTATATAAATATGTATATAGTTATATTTGTGTGTACTTATGTGTTAGTATGCCTTCGAACAAAAACATTTGCTTTACTTCACACTTTGGTTATTACTTTTTTCGCATGAGTATTTTAACATTGTTGTTATTGTTGTTTTTTCGACTTTCTAAACATTGCATTACGAAATTGCGAACATTAACGTCGAACGCGAGATAAGAAAACAATTCGTGTTATGGACAACTAATGTACATATGTATGCAGCAGAAGTAATAGAGAAATTCGAAGGCTACGCCAGTCAACCTTTTATCTATACACACACACACATATATATATATATATATACGCACGCTGCCACATCAATTTTAGTTATGTGCGCATCACTTTGTGCATTGCTTAGCTGCCGTGAAGCCAAGTTCAGCTCAGCCACGCGCTTGCGGTCAAAAGTCACGATGGAAAGTCGTCGGCCATGGAAAATCGCAATTTCACATTTTTGTTACGTATGTGGCTTTATTTAAATTTTTTCCAGGTAAATTTGGATTACAGAAACTTTAATAATAACTTATTCAGCGTTGGTGGAAAAAACACACACAACACTTCATTTTCCAACACAGCTTGATGAGACAGGCTGTTTTTTCTCATAACTGTGGCCAAGAGGTTTGCTTTAATAATTGACTCTAAAAGAATGATTTTTTTTTTTTCAAAATAACTCTACAATAGTAGACCGATAGGGATAGCAAATGACGCATATTTTTCCCCGCTATTTCGACATTTCTCTCTCCAGTAAGGTTTGCCATTTATCATGGAAAGATATACCAACCAACAACGTGTCGAAATTATTAAAATTCAACTCGTAGTCTGTGGCGCGGAGTCAGTGGCCTCCACTTTAAGAACGCAACGTCCAATTTATGGTCGTCATAATCGTCCTAACAGATAAACAATTCAATACAGTGCAAAATGTGCCAATAAAGAAGGAAAGAAGAAATAAAAAAGGGCCGGTCGACAATATTGCTGAGCTAGCGCATCAATTGAGGAAGACCCAAATTACTCTTTCGCATGTCGTTTTCAAGCGTTGAGCATCTCTGTGACGTCATTGTGGCAAATTTTGCGAAAAGATCTTGATCCTTACAAGATCAAATTGATGCAAAAATTGAAGCTGCTTGATCACCAAAGTCGTCTTATGTACGAGAATTTGGCTGAGCAACAAATTGAAAATTATCCAGATTTTCATCGGAAAATCATCTTTAGCGATGAGGCTAATTTCTGGTTGAATGGTTTCATTAATAAACAAAATATGCGTAATTGGATAGGCATCAATCCACACGTACTCTATGAGTCTTCATTGAATACCGAAAAATTGCGTTTTGGTGTAGTTTATGGGCCGGCGGCGTCATTGGGCCGCACTTTTTCTTCTGTGAGGATCAATGCCGGCACATTACAATGAATTGAAATCGCTACCGTTCAATGATTTTTAGCCCTAATTGGACAATAAGTAAAGTCTTTGGCCTATGCCAGCTAGCCAGCACGACTGACGAATTTCTTACAAACATCGAACGTGAAATTGCAGCATTATCGGCCGATTTATGCTTGAAAACAGTCGAATATTGGGTTCAGCGTCTGGACTTCTGCAACCGTGCCCGTGGTATCCATGCAAAAGTGACCGAGTTCCATACATTATGGCATTGAATGTACTTTCACAGGTATAAACAATTTTATTAATATCCTAAGTTTTTATTTTGTAGCGCTTTTATTGAAAAACTCTTTTAATTACTACTGATTTCGGTGAAAATGTTATAATTTATATTGAAGGACAGACCAATTGTTGGTCAATCATACGATTATTTTTGCGCCACCCTGTACAACTAATAATATGATAAAAACCACTCTCTTATCGAACTACCCTCATATTATTATTTAGTACTAGCACGATTTAATTAGCATGCCAAGTAATAAAACATTTTTAATACTGCGCCTTACTTTCTCACATTAAATGTATACCAGTAGCTTTTAAAAAATATAGCAAAAATAGCAAGCACATCTGTGCCACAACAACAACTCAAGCCTAATGCATTAAATGATTAATTATATTTCTTATTCATAGCCTTTTAATTCGGGCAACAGCAAAAGCGTTTGGCTGCCCGCAAATAAATTATTTTAATACCAAAGTGTTATTTCCCAATAAAAGTAGAATTAAGTGGTTGCCACGAATATTTTCGTAAAATATTTTGATTGAGAAGAAAAAAAATAATAATTGTTAGCAAACGAAGAAAAGCATTAGTCACTTGGTCCATTGCCTGAGCGAACGCTTTAGGGCAAATTGCTTCGAGAGAACATTGTCTGAAGGCTGTGGAAGCAGATGGCGGCGCGGTTATTTGCAAACACGCTTGTTATTGCCACCAAAACAAAAAAAAAAACATTTCGAGAATATTTTATAAATATTTGCAATTTTTCGTTTACTTTTTATGCAGAATAATTGCTGGCTTTTTTTTATTCCATTTATTGATTGATTGACTAGCGCATAATTTGAACTGCAAAAATGTTCGAGTTTTTCTAATATTCCAAGAATATATGCTTTGTGTTCAAAAAATGGATGATTGGTTCTTGTATATTAGCTTGACAAAAAAGTCTTGCGGTATTTTCGCTAGTTGGCGCTGAGAGCGCGTGGTTCTAGTTTTATTCGTCGCATCGGGTCTTGCTATACCTTTTTGGAAAGCTCATTTCACGCGCTAACACGTGTTTGATTGATTGTCGTTTCTTTTAAGTCGTTCGTGAGTAATAGCGTCACAAACATGGAGCAAAATAAAGAGAAAATATGGCATATTTTACAGTACTACTACGATAAAGGCATAAATGCATCTCAAGCCGCCAATAAAATTTGTGCAGTTTATGGACCCGATACAGTTTCCACTTCCACCGCACAACGATGGTTTCAACGTTTTCGTTCTGGTGTAGAGGTGGTCGAAGATGCGCCACGCTCCGGAACTGGTACTCATGTCGTACTTCCAGCTAGTGTCGAAAAATAGTCATATAAAACTATATAGCAATCTCATCATTCATTTAAAGACTCCATAAAAAAGAAGAAGTTTAAATGAAAGCTTAAGAGGGTATGTTTCCAAACAGGGAAGGTTAGATCCTGCGCTATCCCTGAGTGAATTTTATTTCGTGTAGTTTTGCTGTTATTGTAAGCTCGCAAAGAAAAATATTTTAAGATGAAGCTAAAGCCATTATTGATACCGCAAAATATACATTTTTATACTACATATATATTTTCAATGCCATTAGTTAGTTTGGAACTAACTTTTGGAGTTCTGATGCAGCTCCGCAACGCGAAAATAGTCAGTTATCCCAAATACTTAGTTGAAGTGGCGAGGGATATGCTTACCCCAATGGAATGATAGAACGAAGTGCCTCTCATATATTAATGATCAAATCTGAATAGTTCTATCTATCTATCTATAAAACTATTTTTCATTGCCACGTGACTCAGCCCATACTAAAAAAAAAAATATTCACTAAAATCAGGAAGCATTCAAAGCATACGAAATAGAAATCAAAAGTTCTTCATTTAATACAAAATTATGTTCTTTCGACTAGTTACAAAAGAAAACATTTTTAGGTTTATACCTTTATAAATTATGAATCATAATATTTTATCACAGTACCTTAAAATTTGTAATTTGCCCATAAAAATTGTAATTAAACGCAATTGATGAATTCGGCTGCGCCATCTCGTGAAATTATAAATATTGCGTGGCATGGCAAAAAAACTCTCTCAGTGTTTTTCAAATCTTCGTCTAAGCAAGTACTACATAAGTTTGGTATAAATAAAAAATATTATTAATGTCGGGAAACATTTTTTTATTGCAACTCTTGATTTCGATATTATATTTTGCCAGTCTTTTAGCGCAAGAAGGTGACTACATGTTAAAGTCTCAAAATATACAACTAGATAATCGCATATTTATATGGTTTCTATATATGATTTCTTGTAAACTTGTTTGGATAGATTTTTTGAAGAAAAAAAAAATAATAGTAATAATATTAACTAGGAAGCACAGCAATTAATGCAGCTGATTTCGAAATTCACCCATATAGTACGTCGAACTTTGTTCATACCAAGTTTCCAATGCTTTAATTAATGATTCTAACAAGTTGTTAAATGTAGGAAAGGAGAAAGGATGTTTGCATGATTCTGGAACTCAGAACCGTTAAAAACGTTTATATTTCCGTTGAGCTATTGAGTGTATTCAAAAATGGTGAGAATAAAGGGAACGGAGGCCAAGTAATAAGTGGAGTTAAATGACCTAGCTTATACTAAAGCTGGATAAATCAACTAAGAGTGTCGATCTTGCCCTGGTGAGGCATAAAGCATCTTAAATTGCTATCATAATATTATAAATGAAGATGAGATAATTTTAAGTGTATAAGAAGCTGATTGATCTATACCGTCAAAGAAAAAAGAGAATGGGGATTAGAAAAGGATTTTCAAAGAATAAGCAGCAAAAGTATTCGTGTGCGAACTCAGTTTTATGGTACAGAGAGATTGAGATAAAGGAAAGGAGAAGGAAACCTTTTAGCGTTTAGGAGTACCGTGTTTCTTGATCAAATTTTACTTATAAATGAATTGCGTTTTCCTTTTTTATTTTTAGGTGAATATAAATTTTCTAATAGGGATGCCGACTACTTGGTTGTTAATGACATGGTAAGTATCCTTATATGATAGCTCTATCTACCTGGATAAATACAAATTAGACAACTTCGAAATACTATTATATCTAATTCGATACAAGTAGGTTAAGTTAAGGAGAACGACAGTAATTACTGACTCATTTGATTCAGTTCAATACGAATCAAATCAAGCCGTTCGTTTTTTACCGGAGCGTGATAGTTCGGAACTTTTTGTAAATTATTGTTTCGAGGAAGGTTTTGTATATTTTTTATTTGATTTAACAGCGGTTGGAGAGGTGGTCTTGAATGGACGATATGGTGTGGTATAAGGTTCAGGAGAAAATCACACTTGATACTTGAGAGTAGAATACCCTGAAACTGTATCGATTTAAAGAATATACCTAGTAATAAAAAAAGCTCTAATTCCTCAACTAGTTCATTTATTCCTCAACCAACCAAGTCGTCACTCACACCACGCTTTTTTTAAACCTTTCAAATCTTTTTCTGTATTATTTTTTCCATTTTTCATTTCCAGCAATCATGGGAAAATGCTAAGAAATATTGTAAAGAAAAGAAGCAAATGCAACTAGTTTCTTTCGAGACACAAGAAAAAATGGTTAAATTCATAATAAATTTGTATAAAAGAGGTAAAGTGTTACTCTTTTTTTTATAATCCATCTATACACTGAAAAAAATATTTTTTAAATTGGAAGATTTTATAAACTTGTATCACCAATCGTATTACAGACTTTCTACAAAGCGGAAAAGTACATCCAAACAGTTCTTTTGTATTCGCTTATTGGACATCTGGCAACAATCTAGCAGACCCCAATAAATTCATATGGGACACCGTTCAGATGCCGGTGGAATATTTTCATTGGCTGAATAAGCACGAAGAAGCACCTGGGGGTCAGGGCTGCATTTTAATGGGCCTGAAGACTTTTGGCCGCTGGACCAATGCATCGTGTGATATGCCTAATCTTTTTATCTGCGAGAAGCCTCATTAACTATGTATTGCAATTGTAAAATAAAAATTATTGTACGAAAATTGAGAAATTAAAAATCAATAATAAATAAGAACAGACAATATTTTTTCCACCCGGAATATTTTTATAAAAGTAACAATTTCTTTCAGTAAAACAATCCCAAAATTTAAATTTGGAAAAAATTTAGAACAAATTTTATAATGATTTTAATTTTTAAATATATAATTTCACAACGTCCTTTAATCCCGAAAATTTAAATTAATGCTATAATACCGAAATTTATCAATTAATGTGCTTTTGGTGTACATTATAAACTCTTAAACACAAAACAACAAAAAAAAAAAAAAAAAAAAAAAAAAAAAAAAAAACATCCGAAAATAAAAAAATATCCCGAAAATGTTAAAAAATCCCGAAAATGTACAAAAAAAAAATAACGAACTGTTAATTGTAAAATATGACTAAATAGCAACATTTTTCAACCCCGATCGAATGTATAATTCCTGACTTCTATATTTATACCAACATTTTTATAACCAAAATAATTTTACTCAATTTTTCAAATTCTTAAAAAAAATAAAAATCTGTTTTCATGATGACTCCCGAATTTATAAGCATTACCACCACAAGTCAGTACCAAAAATCTTATATCATATAATATCGAAAAAATGTCCTACTATTCAACGACTGTTTTTCGAATATTATTTGAATATACTAAATATATTAAATCCGAAAATATTATATACTCGAAGTAATATCAAACATTTTCGATTCCAAATTTAGAATTTTATATTTTACTGCACTTTTCAAAATGATTTAATTCTCAAGAAAAATTGTGCATCCATATCTAATCTAATAAATAAATATGAACTAATCTAAACTGGTTTTGAAGCTCCAATTTTTATCTGATGAACTGAATATGAATTTTGTATACATTAATCTATAGCTCAATAGTAATTTGACAGCTACCTGCCTGATTGATTTCGAGAATTATGACAACACGTTTATTGTTGTGTTGTGATTTTATTTATTATCAGGTAAGTTGTACAAATCCCTGTCAAGTATTTTACTATACATCTATAAATGTCAAATTTCACCAACTTACCTTAAATATGAATTGTCCCATGTCGGAGGCTCGCTCATTAGCCGAACCGGATGCTCTTTTGAAACAATGCAGATAATCGCGTGTCAGCACAAAGTACCTGAAGAAAAAGGAAAAACGGAAATGAAATGAGTATTGTAAATTAGATCGAAGGAGGAGTGGAAAAAGAAAGTCATTAGAATAATGACAATAATCATATTTATGTCTGTTTAGCGTTTAGTATACATATTTCAAATCAAAATATGTAAACTTTCTAACAAAAAGACACTCAACTTTTTAACTGAAAATCAGAGATACAGTCTTGTTAAATGTGCCGTCTTTAAACGCGTTTTTCTCGAAACTGTATTTCTGAAGTCGGTTGGCTAGATTTTTGGAGAGCTACTCAACAGATCTTCATAAAATTTTACACAAGCTTTTCAAGTCTTAAAGATTTGGACGAAGGAGTTTTTACAACTATTTAAAAAAAAAATGTCACAAAATTTACATTGATCTTTTCATATTTTTGTAAGAATGTCTGCCAAAAATCCAATATTCAGTTTCCTTTTCCGTCGTCCAAAATCTAAGTTAAGGTTGTAACTAAAACATGTATTTTTTCACATTAGATGATCCTGTAAGCAATTATTCTGCAATCACGGGCCCATTTTTTTCCGAGGCGTCACCGGCCGAGTCGCAATGCCGCCGCAATGCCGAGTTTCAAACATTTTTTCCAAAAATTTCAGAACTTCTTTGTTAATAGTAAATGTTTGTAACAATAACAAAATGTAAAAAGTAGTACATTTTTTATATGAGAAAAAATTCTGGAAAAAAGACTATTTTTTACTCGAGAAACCCCATTTAGCCCTTTAAGTTAATACGAATCAGACTAGCCAACATGAAATGAAGGAATAGGAACTTTGAGGCTAATATCTTTTGAACCTGGATCTCTGGATTTTGTATGAGCTAATTATGTGCTGGTCTAGAGTAGAACGCAGGAGATCCACTGAACTAAGTGGGTTTAGACAAATACATCTTGCTGCAATCGAAGCAGTTCTTAATCTTGACAATTGCTAATTGTAGAAGATATTCGGAGAAAGGTCAGGTGAAAACATACAGACACTTTCTCCTCCATTGTCCAAATTGTTCAAGACTGTAGTTGAGACCTTTCGGCAATCACATGTAACTTAAGATAGAGTTGTTATCAGCCAGGTTTTTTTTTTTTTTTTTTTTTTTTAATAATTAGGACCGGCGTTCTTAGTTGCCTGCTGATCCATTTTGATCGATTACTGAACTTAACCTACCTACCCTAACCTAAATTCACTTAGGGATCGACTGGGGGAACTCTGACTGTGATGGTTAAAATAGACTGAGCTTTTATGGGGCTGGCTGAAATATTGTATTCTCTTCTTGGTATATCATAAATTATGTGATATAATGGTTTCTTTCAGAAATCAGCCAAACGATTTCATTTTAGATTCACACCAGATGAAGATATTGTTTGTAATCATCACTTCTAGACAGAAAGAAACTAATTGAGGTTTTGCACTGCGATCTATGGTCTATTATGTCCGCTCCTATATCGCATACGGTCACAAAGATCCAGCACTCTGAAGAATTCTAGGAGCTTGCTGAGCGCGATGGAAGTGCTGTAATCCTTGCCCATGTAGACATTACCCGTTCTTCATTATTCTCATTTCCTACTATTCTAATGTGATTCATCTTAGCAGCATCACTAAGTAAACCGAATTGTTAATTTAGTAGCACTGGTAACATTTTTTAACTGCATAAGAAATTACATTTTAAGAAAATGTATCGCTTTAAGGTCCATCGTGACAAGAAGTCAAAGTCCAGGAGTGCTTCTGTTGTTAATCAGGCCAAGACCTATATCATTGCCCTTATAAGAATACTTTAAATATTTTCAAAATAAATTTCATTACTTCGACTAAAGTTTTAGACCCCAAACTTAGTCTCGAATGAGTTATATTTCCCAGTTTTCCAGGATGTCAAAACATCACTCGAAAGAGCCTAATCCAGCTTGTCTTGTAATATGGCAAACATACCATACTTCATCACATCCAAAAATAATTAAGACACAAAGTGTAACCCATAAATCCAACAAAGCAATTAAGTCGTAACCGTGGCGTCACTAATTAGAATTATCTTTAAATCTGCCAAAAAAAAGTACGACTACCTTTTACATTTAAAATTTTTTTAATAATCCACCAACAACCATTCGAGCACACAATCGACGGAAACAGTGAACTTAATTTAATTATTTGACAATTCGTTTTATGCCGCTTTATCTCACGTTCCAACAATATTTTTTTTTATTGCTATGGATGGCCATTTTTTGTCGAGACTTGCAGTTTTTGCTGGCGCCGCCATTTGTTTTTTATCTTTTTGGCGACAGTCATACGAAATGTCACTATTATTTTGGTGTTTCTTGTTTTTGTTTTTACTCCACTTACCTTTCCTTCCAGCGCGAAAAGAGGCGATCACGTTGTTGCCATAGCAGTCCTCTTTTAATTGGACCTGTCATTGAGGCGACTGGTATACGACCGGCAAGCAGAGATTGCTGCAATGAAAAAGAATATTGAAAGTGGGTTTGAGTTTTTTGTGGAAAAAATTTATATATTTTTAACTTTTTTGCAGTTATGTACTTTACTGTATATATAAATATATATTTTTAAAGGTAATTGCAGCAATTTAATTTAAACTTTTTTTATATCAAGGTGAACTGTTAACTAAAGAGCGTTGAGGGTTATTTGCAGGAAAAACAGAAATGTTAAAACAAATTTTTTTATGAAAGCATAAACCAATGTACTTTTAAATGATGGCATTATATGTTAATGTGGATAATTAATCAATTATATCAAAAAAGAATTCCGATTAAAGCTCCATACATATGCTTAATCTCCGAAATATCTACTAGGAATTATTTTGATGGAAGCGCAATTTCAAACTGGGACATGCTTCATTAGCAGTTTTATACATACTAATAAGATTCTGAAAAAATTTCTCCAGCATCAATTAGCCTTAAAACCAATATAGCCTTTCGGCTACGAATCTTCAAAGTACTTTCATATCTCTTCAGCTCCTAGGTCAAAAATCAACATCAAATTCTGAAATTTTTCTAAACTTAATTAACACTCATGATTTAGAACCTTTTTCTTTATTAGAGTAAGATTTATGCAGAAAGGAAATAAGCATTTTGAGGGTTCTTAAATATGCTTCATTGGTCATTCCAAGAGTAATGTGAATTTTATGAGAAAATCTCGTCTAAGCAGTCTCAAAGGTTGAATTGCTAAAGAAAACAACAAAATTCAGTGCTAAAATTCTGTGGAAACCAAAAAATAAAAATACATTAAGATATGTTTTACTCAATACTTGGGATGTTATCTTAGAAAAATGGAAAATAGTGATATATTTAAGCTTCTCTCGTTTCCTAACCAAATGAAGTGTGTTGAATTTCATAAATCGTAAATATCCAGGTATTATAGACCTTTGGGAAGGAGCTCAGCATATGAATGAGGCAAATAACAACGTCATAAAAATCATACATTATTCGACTTCCGTTTCAACGAACTCTACCTCGTAGCTGAGCTTATAGTATAGCCTTTTTTATGACAAGTGTATGTGGTCCTGATATATTTTTTGGTTTTCTTATAATACCCTGAAGCAATTTTGCAGGGTTGCATAGATAATTCTGCCTTAATTTGTTGTCCAGTAAATACTAATGGAGCATTGCGAACATTAATTGTACAACAAAGAGTTCTTGGCATTATTGAAATTATACAGTTTCACTTCAAAAGTGTGTTTTTTATCTAATAGCAGAGTACAACTATTTCTTCTCTTCGAAAACAGACGTTTCTTCTACACTTGATTTGTAATAGTTATTTGCGTTGTAATAGATTTTTATATAATATGTATATGTACGCTCTTCCAAGCAAGCCAGTTAAGTGAAATTGAAAAAGCTGATGGCTTAACCGCTAGTGCTATATATATATATATATATATATATACATATA